TATACAAATGACCTTGTAAAGACCATCAAATATGACAGTAGACTTAATGTTGCTGCATACGCTGACGACATAAATGTTTTGAACGAAACATTGCTCAAAAGCTTCTAAACAGTGCTATTGGTCGCATGCAGCAATGCTGCACTGAGTGGGGCTCAAGATTAGCAAGCAAAAGACCCATATATTCTCACTCGGATCCACCTCGCTGGAGATTCATTTTCCTGACGACACAGTTCTGGAGCGGTTGAACAGTGTCAAAGATTTAGGTATCAATCTCACAAAAGATCTGAAGTGGTCATTTCATGTCAATATAATATCAACCAAAGCTCTCAAGATGCTACATATTCTGTTCAGAAATATTCATAGCTCCGACATTTCATTGTGGATTAAGATCTATCGGACATATGTTCTCCCACAAATCGAGTACTGCAGCCCCGTCTGGAGTCTCTCGTTGAAAAAAAGGTATCCAAAATGTGCAAAGAAATCCGAGAATGTGCAAAGAACATTCACAAGAATTCTGTACTACCGTGCATATCCCAACAATGATTACCCGCAAGCCCTGCCCTCTTATCGAGCACGCCTTAACGAACTAAATTTGAAAACCTTATTCTACAGACGTATTCAAGCTGATTTATTACTAGCTTTTAAGATTCTGAAAGGTGAATTGCGAATCAAGCCGTCAAGATACTGGGTTTTTCGACCAACAAATGGACGAAGAAATATATTCCAAACCTACAATCACAAGATGGGCAGATGGCATCAAAACTTAAGAACCAATTGTTTCATTCTCCGTACGACTAAATGGCTAGGGTCTCTACCTCAGCATTTTCATACAATTACCAACTCAAAAGCAATTCAAGAATGCTCTCAAGAAAGCCAATCTTCTGGATTTGCTTGATATTACCGACATTGTATGAAATATCATTGTCATACTTGCATTTCAACTCTAACAGTCAGGGGACCACTTTGAATGTCTATCTAGGGGTACTTCAAGGCCAAACTACGACAATGAAATGCGTACGCAGAAAAAATATAATACGTCCTCTAACAGTATACTTACAAGCACCTCTCGCTTACCGTTTCCACATGTACAGCTGGTACCAAGGCATTTGTTTTTTCGATATTTTACATGCTATTGGCATTATGATAATTTTTTTCTTTGTTGCACAGAAATAGGACATGTGGTTTTCGGTTGCAGTAACGATCGCGGTGACAATTTACATATGATGCTATGATTTAATTGACGCTGATGACTTTTTACACGTTTCCCATCAGGAAAGCAGTTCACGGTATTGTAAAGGAAAAGATTACAGAGTATTATGCCATTTTCTCAATATCAATTTGATATTTGTTTGCTCTTGAACAAATGGATAAATAAACAACATGCACCACCTCATCACAGATGACTGAAGCAAGCGGGTGTGATAATAAGTACTTCCAACATGTTCGGTTATGACTTTATACTTCACGCAATTTTGTGAACGCATTCCATTGTCTAGCTCAATCAGTTTAAATCGGGCTCAGATCTGCTTAACTGGCTAAG